AGCAGATGAAACCACAAGAGGGGATGAGCTAGTTTCTTTAAGGAATATCCATATAGATTCATTGTATTGAACTGGGAGATAATCCTTTGGTGCCTTCATCGTTTGTGGTGAAATACTGTAGACGTTAGATTGTAAAGTTTTAAGGAGGGAGTGGGTAACAAAGAAAGATGGGAGACAGAGTAGAAAGAGTACCTCTAGTCCCAGAAGTTTATTCATGAAAGTTAGGTGGGACATGGGATATAGTTGGAAGGGGTAGCAGTGTTCAGTGAATTATGTTTAACACTAGAAAGTAAGAACTCAGTGTAGAGTGAAAGATTTAAGATACTAAAGAGGTAAGAGATAAATGTGGGAATCATGCCTCTCATGAGGTGAGAAAAGATGAGGTTCCTAACATAGGTGGGACAGTTGGCATCTTCACAAAAGGTGCAGAGATGGGAAAATAATAAGGGGAACACGTGGAAATGAGTAGGGAAGCTTCTCTCTGATGATGTAAGGTTATCATCTTTAACTGGGAGGAGATGAAAGAAGACATTTGAGGTGGAGGACCTGCAGATGTGCAATAGATAATATGGTGAACGTATGAGGCCCAGTACCCCAGCAACAGTGAAAGCACCTAAAATATTGGTGGTTCAGAGCTGTTTAGTTCTAGGAATATTTCCAGGAATACTTTACATAATGGGTGCAGACATGGAGAAAAGAAAGAATGAACAATCCAGGTCTGGAAGAAGGGTGGGTGGACAGGATTCCTTCTGTAGGAAGACCTGGGTTCAAATTCTGCTTGTTACTTCACAAGTTGCATCGTTGGAAGGAGCACCCACCCATCGAAGTATAAATGTTGAGGATTACTATTCTTTTTTTTAATAGGTCTAAAATATATAATTTATCACAGTATACATAATTATCTATCATATGAAGAAACACAGGTGCATGGTAATCTAACATCTAATCATACAAGGTTGCAGTTACACTGAGGGGGGCCATAGGATCACCATAAATATGAGAGTTGAAACCAAAGTTATTTTGACAATCTCTAAAGGCTGTTCAGGAAAATTTGCATTTACTTATAGGTTTGCTTTTTTTTCCCACAGAATTTATTGGATCCGGTTAAAAATTGTTTTGAACTATGTATTTCCAGACTACTTTCCTGCAACTAACTCCTTATATTTATTCTCCCCTGCCCCCAATCCCTATTTCTATTTAGGAAGAGAAAGGCTACAACCATTAGTACTTGCAGTGGATGAGAGGAAGATTATGTTACACAAGTGGTTTATGGAGCATGTGTAGATAAATTAATTTCCCTTGCATGAAAGAGACAAAAACCCTTTTGATTTGGAAGCTGCCAACAGAGCAGCGGAGAAGAAGAAAGGTAAAGATGGGACTAAAAAAGGTAGGGGTGTGAAAAGAAATCAGAAATACTAGAGTTGAAAAGGATTTTTTGAGATCAACTAGTTTGATTTCATTGTTTTATAGATAACAAAACTGAGGCAAAAATGATTTGCTCATGGCCACATAGGTAGTTAGGGTAATCAAAAATTACTATTCTTCTTATTAAAAGTTTTGTCAGTTGAGAATGACAAAGATTCCTACAATAGCAGTACTAAAAACAGTAACAAAAACAAACAAAAAACGGAATTTGTCGAGACCCTACCTTAACTTGGAGAATACTTAACCATTACAAAATAGCATAATCTTTTCCCTTCTATTTAGACTATGTAATATGAAGACACTGTGGAGACTGTTAGTTACCAGGAAGGCCTCTACCCAGCCTAATGGATCATTTATACTGTGGAGTCAGTTCAAAGATTAGATGGACAGCAGGAAGGAACCTGAGTGATAATAGCTTTAAGTAACATACTTTCCAGTAACCGTATTAGAAACCCTGGCCACTTGTGCTCTATTGCCAGTGACTGTTGTAGTGGAAAGACTTTTGGGTTTGAAGTCACAGGTTCTGAATTTGAATCCTGTCTCCCACTTGTGAAAGTCAGAATCTCTCCCGGAGGCCTAAGTTTTGTAATTTAACAAATTAAGAGATTGAACTAGATGTTCTCTAAGGTCCCTTCTATCCTATAGCCATAATACTAGGACTGCTCATCATGTTCATTAAGGAAGACTGACATTGCAAACTTACCTATTTTAATGTCATTTTCGGTCAAGTCAAATTCAGGGATTATCATCCAAGTCATTATTGCTTACTGTAATGATGGTTACTTGCTGACTTGATTATACATCTAATCAGTGAGAATCAATAGTAAAGAAGCATGCTAAAGGATTGATATCACATTTAACACAAACTCAGTTGTTTGTACTTATTAATATATTTCTTGATCCTTATCATTAAGTGAGTTTATGTTTTGATTTCCCTTCAACCCTTAACAAAAAGAAAATTAAATGTTTTAATTTTCAATTAAATGTTGTCTTTAAAAATTCCTTGGCTGAATCAGTTGATAGAGCAAAAAAAAGTTTTTTTCTACTTTGGAAGTTGCATCTCTTTGATAGTCCAAAAACATTTTAGAAGGGGATAAAAGAACAGGAGCATATTGAAAGCCAATTTTTTTTCACTAAAAATGGAAAATTCTGCCATAATGACTCACTACTTTTAGTATTACTCCTCTGATCAGTTTGCTCATTACCTGAATAGCTAATGACTAAAGGTAGCTAACAACTGTCAGATGTCACCACAGATCCACATGAAGAAGAATGATATAAATATACTGTAATAAGGACTAAATACTCAAGCTGATGTCTTCCTTAGGCACACTTCTCACTAGCTCCACAATTTATTATTGAACATCCGACAGAACAGAATCCTTCAATTAACCATTTTTGGCATTTTTAGGAGTCTACTTAAAAAATGTTCACTTGTCCTAAAAATGTTTTTGCTGCTATATAGGTGGGTGCCAAAAAGTTTCAGGTCAACACATAATGTAATATTCAGTGTTTTTTGTTTTGTTTTTTGCCAATTAGATGCTAAGAGATGTGCTATAACAAGTTTTTCTATATCCCTTCTCACTCCCACACCATCCCTGTTCCTTTAATAAAATATATTGTCATATTAGAAGATGCTCTTGAATTATTGCCTTCTCCTGTTCCCAACTATCTCAGAAATTGAAGTAAGTATTGGTTTGGACAAGATTTATAGTTTGGGTATATGTCCTGGGGGATCATGGAAGGACTGTGGAGAGGAAACTGATTGTACCACTTCTCCCTAAAGATGTTTTTCATGTCTAGAAGAATGTCTTAAATTTAAATGGGGAAGACTGGAATCTGCTTTGAGAATACATCTTGAGTTAGCCTGTACAAAGATGGGAGACTTTTCCCTAACTCATCCATAGCTGAGAAGTGAGTTTTCCTCAAGCAGCTGAAGAACTGACTTTTTTCCTGTCAAGGCAACTCAAGAAAATTAAAGGGAGAGGGAAAACAGAACATATGCTCTTGAATCCATACCTCCAGCAAGCTCTATCTCTTTCCAAAGAAAATGACCACTAATGACTGGATATAGGCTAAACTGTTTTGGCTAGTGTGGAAAGGGTCACTTTGTGTCACTGTGCCAAGAAGTTTATTGATTAGTAGTCACAAACACTAAAGAATACCCCGTTCTTTCTTTATACATACAGCTAACACTGAAATAAATTGCTTTTGTGTGTTATCTCCTGATGTTAGAAATTCTCCATTGTCTCCAAATGACTTCAGGTGCTTCTGGGTTTTTAACATGCTTAACTGAAGACGTTTTTATCCTTGTGACTGCTTACAACTTCCTGGCCCATCAGGGAAGTCGCCGTTTGCTTCTTAAGGCTGGGCAATTCAGTGATGATCTGGAACTGCAGAGTGGTACAAATTGGCAATTCCTGGCCCCAGCCCTTTACCCAGGCAAATCTCAGGCTGCTGCCCCTCTGGAGCTGGTGAAGAGATCTTCAAAGAGGAGCACCCCATCTAGAGAATGTTCTGAGCCATGTTGCCGAAGAAGTCCTCCTTTTATGACCGTCTTCCTCTCCACTCTTTTGGTCAGTACTTTGCAGTGAATATATACATTGTATGAAATGGATGATAAGGTCTCAGGCTAAAGGAAATCCAGACAGCTAAGGATGAGAGTCTCCTTGAGGAGGGACTTATTATGAGGAATAAGGATAAGGTGAGAGGACCCCACGGCCCAAATAAGCAAAGACAGCTTTTTGCTTCAGCCCACTTTAAGAATTCCAAGGTTATTTGCAGTCATGGAGCTAGGTTGGGGACCTGCTTTCAGTATAACCAAAATGGATCCTTCCCCCCTCTCAACCCAGACAGGCCCCCGCTCCAGTCAGTGTTAAGGGAGGCACGTATACTTTGGCATCACTTTTTGATCTAACTGCCCTGTTTATTCAGACCCCCCTCACCCGGATTCCTCCCGTGTTGAAGAGCCATGAATATATGGAACCATCTCCAATGGCTAGCTGAACCTGAATCTTAACAATTTGGGCGTCTGACTCTTTTTTCTAGATTGAATGGAGGCTGAAGCAATTCCTCTTTCTTACAGTAGTCAGTCAGAACATTTGGTAAAACAGCCTTGCAAATGTCCCACTTGCCAAGGAAAAGCAACATTTTTATAAATGGCAAATAGGCTGCTGATTTTGTATACTTCACTTCCTTAATACCCCCTGAAAGGAGGATAAGTTTAACATGCTATATTTATGTAGTGTAAATTTTATTTTATTTTATTTTTTATTTGTAAGGCTGTGATAGAAGGTAGGCAAAGGGCTGTGGTTCCTCCACCATTGGGACTTATCTGTAGATAACAGAATGAAATTGATGTCTAGACTATGAGGTATCAGACGGGGATGATAATGAGGAGAGTGAATAAGATGCTACAGAAACAGAAAAAAGCATGCTAATGATTATCACCTTAACCTCAACGAGAGCTAGAGTGGGGTAGGGAAGGGAGAGGAGGGGAAACTTACATGGCAGGGAAGGTGATTTGACTCATATTTATGTCACAAAACAAAAATAGAGCCGCAACACTGGCTTACTTGTGGAAGTGTATACTAGTGAACTGGGGGCACTGTACACAGAAGATCCCTCCTGGTTTGCCTGGCACAACAGCACCGTGCCTATAAGAGAGAGAGAGAGATGGTATCTGGTTTTGGAACACGCACACTAAACCTGAGGCATTATGTCAAATTAAAAAAAAAAAAAGAAATACAGCCATATACCAGTGTTCATGGGGCAGTGAAGACCAATGAGATTGTCTGCCTGTGGGTCTTATATTCCAGAGACCTCAACAAGTAATTCTCAAGAAAAAGAAGAAAGTGTTTCTGCCCAACCCAGCCCACCAAGCAGGAATTATCATCATTTTGCAAATTTTGGAGACCTGCTTTCCAGCAACCCTGTTAGGCTAGCCTTTCAAATAAGTACAAAGAGAATTCTTTTTCTGCCTGCCGAGCTCTATTGGACTCAGCCTACTCCCCCCCCCCCCGGGAGGTGCAGAGGTAAGGAGATAAACCAATTTGACATTTATTACTTTTACTTGGACAATATAAACAGCTAGTTACACTGGGCAAGTAGCTCTCTACAAGACTTTTCCTATTACGATTTCTACTTCTTGATAACCTAGGCCCTCCCTCTCCCTCTCTCTCTCTCTCTCTCTCTCTCTCTCTCTCTCTCTCTGAATATTCTGTTTCAGCTGAAAAGTCTGTCTAACTAACCTTGTTGATAAAGGGTACAAGTTAGCATTCTTCCTTTCCATTCATATGACTATTTTCTCTGCTTGAATTGAAAAAGACAGCAGATAGCAGGCATATTACTGCCCCCAAAATGAGTGACATCTCAGACATTTCTGTTCTTATGACATGTTTGAAATAGCTTGATCAGATATTGGTCAGTTCAGAAATTTCTTCAGGAATTATTTTACCTCCTTTCTACTACTCCAAATAAAAAAAGCAGAAATATTCAGAAGATTGTGAAAAACATTTTATGTATTTTTAACCTATTATGGAAAATGAAAAGGTATTCCTAATATTACCTTCCCTGGGTGGATAAGTTCAGTACTTCCAGTTTATTCTTCCATTACCACCAAAAGAGAAAGGAAGTTAACTCTACCTCAAAAAGTCCATTTATTACAAATGTTCAGCTGTAATAATGAGTTCTGTTCCTTGGAGCCTCACCCTAGGACTGACATCTAGAACTACAAAATAACCACAAAACCTTTAAGTCCAAAGAATAAAATTCAATTAAAAAAATTCTTCCCCCAGCAACTTTTTCAAAAAAGCATCAGGTAAATTTTGGTATGAAGAAAGGTTTTTCCGAAGGTTGTTGGGAGCAAGAAAAAAACAGAGTTGGAGAGCATGAAAGCCCTATTGTACCTGCTAATAGTTTGTTTTTGTGGGTTAACACAGAAAATGAAAAGCATATGGTGAGGGACAGAGAGATAAACAAGGTAGTATAATTTTGAAATGCAGATTTGAAGTGGTTAAGATGACAGGCTAATATAAATTATTCCCATTTGATATGGTTCAAGCTTTCTTAATTTCACAATTTCTCAACTTTCTCTCTTTTTGGACTCATCTCCCCAAAACAAGATATGCCTGAAATTCCCAACCCACAGATCAATACTATGAAAAATCAAATATAGCTTTTCCACATCCAGACTTGCAGATGATAAAAAAAAAAGTGATCAATTTGCAGAATGTTGGCCTACCAACCAAACATCTTCCATTCCTTTCCCTGATTACTTGAGAGTTCCAGACCTTGGCAACTCAAGAAGGAGAGTTCTTGAAATGGAGTAACTTTATTTGCTTCAATTTTTTTTCTTAGCAAACAAATTATTTTGAGGTCCTGGGCCTTAGGCTGTCCCAATCCTAATCCCAATTCATTAGTTAAAATCTTTCCCTTCTCCAATTATATTCCATTAATGCTCTATCACAGAACATAACTATAAAATGGAGTTTTTGAAAGGTCTAATTTTTCTTCACTTGACATTTTCTGTTTTTATTCTGCATGACCATTTAAAAAAATGATGTTGATTTCTAATCAACCAGAAGGAATGCACTTTTTTGGAAAGGCTATCTACTTTGCTTCAGATGTACTCCTTCCACCAAGGAAAACCAGGTTGTCTTATACACGATTCTATTTACTTTAAATATTACTGTCAATACTTATAATGAGAATTTTCAGAAGTCAGTAGGATTCATTTTAATGAGAGGTAAAGTTTCTTGAGATACCTATGTTTCAAATTTAAAATAATGTATTTGTAGTGAAAATATCCAAGAGATTTAATTATTCGACAATAAGGCCCTGAGGGAACATGCCAATATCCTGGATACAATTTACAGAATCTCAACAGAGTGAAATATAGGATTTCTGTTAGAATGCTAAATCCTGGCAGAATATAATGAAATCTTGATCTTTTTCTTCTGTTGTGTTTTTATAAGAAAAAATATTTGAATAAAGTTCTTCAGATACCTTCCTATCACAAATACACATATGCATGCACACACCCACACATACACCCACAATAGCCTTATGCCATAAGGCTGACCTTTGTAAAATAAAAATCAACATCTGCCACAGGGCTCAGTTTTTAGATTACCTAAACATGTTCCCATCCAATTTATAATGTACTTATGTATTCGGTTAGGACCTCTGTGACCTTTTATTACAAAAAACCTTGAAACTCAACAAAACAAACAGCAAAAATATTATTTAATATTAATGTAATTTGAAGTATTTATTTTCAAAAATAAGTCAATTGGGCAAATATGTAATGTATACATGGGATTTCTAGTTAGCTCTTCTACTTTAAAAAAATACATGGAGAGATTTTTCCATACTTTTCATGACCACACTTGGCTCTTTTCTGAGCTTATTTTTGCAGATTAGAACTCAAATGCCAAAACCAAAGCTATAGATATACAAGTTAAGTCCTGTGAGCCAGGTTTTAAAAAAAAATCTACCTTTTGCATGTTTTCAAAGTCATTCATTCTGATTTCAAATGAAAACCTGGATTACTCATAACTGGAAATGACAAGAAACAAATGTAGCAAATCACAACTGGGGTATATATTGGAGATTATTCCCCAAAAGTCACACTCAGTAAATTACAATATTAATAGCCAACATTCTACATGGTAGAAAAATACACAAAGGAGACAACAGACTATAGGACTATTTGGATTAGCAGAAGGTTAGCCATGGTTACTTGAAATTACCACATGAAGAAAGGGAAAAGGAAAGGCTTGACTGCTAAATTTAAATGGAGTGGTGTAATCACCAGACAACAGTGACAAAAGAATGAAAGGGAGCCTTGGCACCCTATTCTGAGAGTGCACTAAGAAATCCTAACCCTAGAGCTCAGTCTTACAGCTTATCCAGGCACTGAAGTACTTAATGGGCTGACCTTGAAGGGCTCAAGTGGAAACTTGCCATTGGTCCATACTAGTCATATTTACTTAATAAGTTTTTTGAATCTTATGTTGAGTAACTTATTAGCCAAGTGACTTAAGGATCCATTGTCATTTTCTGTGAATTTGGTGAGGGAAGACTGAGTCAACCCAAGTAACCCCAGAAAAGTCAGGATGAAATTCTTCAGCCTAGCAAAATTCTGATTTACCTGACAACTTAAAAAGAAAGGCACCAGTGTTATCCCATGAGTATCATCCTATGACTGGGTACTTAGGATTTACACTCTAGAACATCAAGTAACCACACGTGGCTAACAGCAGATGTATTAAATTCCCTGCTTTTCCCTGCATAATACTGAATGTGAAAACATTGTAGTCAAAACAGACTATACTAGAAATAGTGACTAGAGCATGGAGTAGTAGAAAGACATAGCATTTGGACTCAGAGTCCAAATTTGTTTGAATTCTGCCTCTTCTACCTACTGCCTATGTAACCTTGGGCAGTTTTTCAGGTACTCAGTTTCTTTATCTCATAACATAAGGCTGGATTAATTAATTTCTTAAGTTTCTTCCATTTCTAGTTCCTATGATAAAGAGATGTGGAACTATGGGTGTATAATTTTGCACCCAAATTCAGACAAGGTTATTATGTTAATGAGTTTCAGTTAAATACCTTTTTGTTGTGGTTGCAAAGGAGAGTTCTGTGGTAGTCACACATAAAAGTACATGTGTATATGGGGAGGTGTTATATTGGGAAATAATGGGCATGAAACAAAAACAACAAAAAAGTATCTACAATTTTTTTTTTTCTTTTCAATACCTGTAAGAGAAAAAGAATGTTTCCAGTGTACGAGTTGTTTTGGAGGTTGGACTTCTGAATGGGCTGCTTTGAAATACATGATAATCAATGACACCCTCCCTTCATGGCACCTCCCCCCCAAAAAAAGGATAAAATATGATTCAATCAAAATATTCTTCTGGAAAGGAACCCTACAAGTGAATGTTTAATACCTCTGTCTTGAATAGTGTGAAGGTTTTGAACCACTCAGAATGGGTGTGGGGGGGGGGGGGCAGGGGGGTTTGTCTTTGGAGATTAAATTTAGGTAGACTTACACTGAAGGAATCTTAGTTCTTCCTGTTTAGCTGCCCAAGCTAGGCAAGATTTGTTTGGCACTGACCATAAAGATCTCAGATTAGACAAGTTTAATGATATCTTTTAGTCTTATTTGAAAGTTTGAAATTTCTTGCTTAGATAAAATTCAGCGTTGCAGGTCTGGTTCAATATCAGGAAAACTATCAGCATAATTGATCATATCAACAACAAAACTAACAGAAACCACATGATCATCTCAATAGATGCAGATAAAACTCAGTGATTTGTTGGTTTGTGTGAATCTTCCTAGTCCTGGATGCTAGCTGTGTCTGTCATGGCTGAGGCCAGCTGTGGCTGCTTGTCTTCTCTACCTTCATGGTTTGTCACATGAATATGATTAATGACATAGGAGAGGGGAGATCTAAGGCCCCTCCCCCCGCCTTCCCAAAAGAAATGTTGGCTTATTGTTCACATACCAAAGATAATGCTAAGATATGGCAGTTTTGAAAGTGGAATTTTTATACTTTGTACAACTCCAGGGAGAATCCTTTGATCACCCATTAAAAGGAAAAAAAAAATCAAGACAAGAAATAAGCAGCTTGTAAAAATTCAGTGCCCA